AGAGGCAGCCATAGCTGCCATAGTTGTAGTTAGTAGTGAGTGTGTGTGTGTGCTCGAGTGTTAGAGTGATGCGTGTGGGATATCCAGGGTGATCCAGTGTATGTGAACAGTGAGATGTTTGGGCGCTGAAGTCGCCATAGCCATTTGAGAGTGAACTCGTATCTGAAGCCATATCTCTGAGTTTTGAGTGGGCGCATGTCGCCAGTGTGCTGCGCTACTGTATACATGTGTGAAAAGTGTGTTTGAAAACGAATCTGATTGCAAAAGAGAATGCTTTGGCACAATGGCACATGAAAATATATATATTTTTTGCCAAACCATATGTGTGTTCCAAAATCCAAGTCGGATCGACCAAGTAGGCGTGACGCTTCAGGCTGGGGCAGCGCCGCGGGTTTCGTTCGTCACCTCAGTATAGCCCTCGATTCCGAGTCGTAAGTATAGGCCTCGATTCTGAGTCGTAAGTATAGGCCTCCATTCCGAGTCGTAAGTATAGCCCAATAGCACTGAAAAAGTGAACTTGCGGATGGAAAGAATAGGGGAACATCTCGTGACCCAGCAGCGAAAGGAGGGAGGACAAAAGTAGGTGCTCTGCGAACCACGCGTTCATCAGCCAGCTACAACAATTCCTGGCGCTGGAGGAGGATTTACAGAATACTGCCAGTTGGGGGAGGATATACAGATGGAAATGCGAAAAGAGAACGAGCAAAAGGTCCATGCATGTGGACCTGCAAACGCACGTCATAGAGACAGATGCCACAATCAAGGTCTTTTTTTTTTTTGTGTGTGTGTGTGTGGAAAAACACAATGCATGGGGACCCAATCTATATTTGTGGTGAGCAGCACGTACTGGGAATCGGGCCCAGCGTCCCATCATAAAAAAAATACAATATATTTGACTACACCGACGGCATGACCCGACTTCGGCTAAGAAAGCCATCATCAAGTTTGTCGTGGGTTTATTGCTGAACCTCAACAGTCATCATCCTCTGCTCTCTGCACCGTTTCGGCGAAGGAAGGACACCATAACAATGTTCTTTGCTCCTAAAACCCGTCGACAGCAGAGTACATCGCTTCTTTCTTTTTTTTTTTTCATCGCTAACCACCACCTCCCGCAGTTATCTATCCCATGCAAGCTTTGAGTGCATCGCCTGCACCCTGGAAGAAGCACCAGGACAAGACAAAATCGGCGATGAAAATACAGACGAGGGAAATCACGACGGCAGAAGTCGTGGATTCGCCGACGCCTTTTGCACCCCCTGTCGTCGTTGCTCCCCAAGTGCAACTCACGACAGCAATAATCATACCAAACACAACACACTTAATCAAAGTGCTGATGATGTCCCACGGTTGAAGGCCTCGAGCTGCCGAATCGAGAATGATGTTCGCGCTGACATTGTACACGCCCTCCGCAAGAAAGACGCTCGCGCCCATAGACACACTGAAGCACATGAGTGTAAGGATCGGCAGAGCAACGCAGCAGGCGATCACACGTGGCGTCACAAGGTAATCCACAGGGTCCGTGCGAAGGACTCGAAGGGTATCTGTTTGCTCGGAGACCTGCAAATGCACACCCACAAAGTTGGTAGTGGTAGTGGTGGTGGGGGCGGGGGGGGGGGGGGGGAGAAGAAAACAACTTTCAGTAGACAAGCGTCAAGCGAGTTGGAGAACACTCCCTCCTCGTGGACTTCTGTCACAATAAATTTAAAAAAAAAACGTGTCGATACATGCAACGATATCTCCATTGAACATTTCGTAACAAAAGAAAACCAAAAAAAAAAAGAAAAGCTTCATTCCACAAGTTATTGCTTGGGTTGTTTTCAAAGGACAAACTACCTAGTCCAACTGACCTAGCTCAGTTGGTAGACCCTTCCTAAACTGTTGAAACTTGAAAAAACAAACCTGAGTTCGAACTCCGCTGGAAGCAGATGAGTAAAAAATACTGCATTTCTGAATTACCTACGGCTGGTCAGTTCGGCTATGATATCTCAAGGCTGTCAGACTATTTAAAAAAAAAGAAAAAGAAGAAAGAAAGAAAGAGAAAGAACGAAAGGAGAAATAAAGGGAAAAAAAATAGTCCACTGGACCACGGGTATCATACTAATAAATTAATAATTATTAAATTGGTAATAAATTAATAATCATAGCACTCTGACAGTAGCTTCTAACAGAGGCCTTAGTTCCCCAGCACCAACCGGACGGACCCTTCGTAGTAGTTCGTACCCCTTTATTTTTTCCCCTTATTTTGCATTTGTAATGAACCCAGTCCGGCAGATACTCATCAGACATCAAACCACAGTAGTCTCAGATCTGCGCAAAGTCTCCAGTTATCGTGAAGTGATATCTGAAACAGTATCTCATTACCAATAGACGAAGAGAGTGGAGGGAGGATAGACAAGGGAGAAGGTGGAAGTGATAATAAAAAAAAACACGATAATAAGCCCAACCAATCCCACTCCTTCTCCGGGCTTCTTCTCCATCCACGTCATCAATCAATAATAGCAACAAGTCTGATAAGTTCTGATCACACAGAAGTGCCACGTTGCACTCTTATCTCGTGAAGGCCATGAAGACAACAGGAGAATATAGTAATGACGTCAACCTCAGGTGAGTACCCGATCCCAATCATCCACAGATCCCGATCTCCCTCCTTGTCGCAACCAGTCACCTCATGTAGACAACGTGGCCAATACCACGTCAGCAGTAGAGACAGGTGGCAGCGCCACATCAGTGCATCATTGCGATGTAGACCAGAGGCAGCGCCACATCAGCATGTGATGTAGACCAGAGGCAGCGCCACATCAGCATGCAATGTAGACCAGAGGCAGCACCACATCAGCATGCAATGTAGAGCAGAGGCAGCGCCACATCAGCATGCAATGTAGACAAGTGGCCTGCACCACATCAGCCTTGAAGACAGGTGGCAGCGCCACATCAGTAATGCCTGCCGCACAATGCAGAACGCGCCAGCATGCCGTCACAGCCCGCGTAGTCGTCGTCCACAGTGCCTGCGCACAGCCAGCGTCTCGCCAGTGCCGTGCCAGCGTCAATGCCAACGTCTAGTCGAAGTCGACCCAGTGTCCAAGCAGCATAGCAAGACCTAATGTCCACCTCCTGAAGACCAGCCCTTAAGTAGCATTTGACGAGGCTGTCTGGTCTCGGGTCCCTCCCCCACAGTCGTCCAGATTGACTCGCAGCCGAGGCCCTGGATTGTGTACAGTTGCAGACTTCCCTTTGCACCTGATGCTGTCTGGGTACCTGCATACAAACAAGTGTGTGTGCCTGACCGGCGGCCTGGGCTGGGTACACTTTGACTTTGACTGTTGGAATTTCCGGCAGTTGACTTTACTAAAGTCAACTGTCACATGTCCAGGCCCTGAATCCCCATGTGGGGTTCTTTTTCCCCGGTTTGGCCTGGACTGAGGGCGGCCAGGTACGCCCTCAGAAATTGCACGAGACATATGGCATGGGTTAACTAATTGCACATTGCGCCGTTGTGAATTCCCGACAACTGTCAGCAAACACAGTTGTCACAGACAGACAGACAGACTGTGTCATTTCATCATCAGACTTCAACCAAGACTAACTACACAGAGAGAGAGAGAGAGAGAGAGAGAGAGAGAGAGAAACAGTACAACTAACCTGACCAGCTTACTGTTGAGATGTTGGTCGAGCTCTTGACGGTTAATGGAGTTAAGTCTGCAAGAGTAGGCTGCTTGATCCTGATAAAGCACCACTAGGTTTTCCCATGTCGGCCTCGTTGGGGCTCCGATCTTTGAGGAGGCCAAAAAAAAAAGGCGGCCTACGATGAGGAGATTTATCAACGGCAGCTGGTGTCGGGCTCAGCCCCCGGGGGTTTAGGAGTAGGCTATTTGCCCGTTTTCCCAACAGCAGGAAGGGTCGTGCAGGTGGTTTAAACCAAGTTAACCAGCTTGAGTCAGTCTGCGTGATCCCGTTAAACAAAATTAACCAGCTTGAGTCTGCTTAACCAGCTTGAGTGTGCTTGGTCCTGTTGAACGAATTTAACCAGCTTGAGTCTGCTTGATCCTGTTGAACGAATTTAACCAGCTTGAGTCTGCTTGATCCTGTCAAACCAAATTAACCAGCTTGAGTCTGCTTGATCCCGTTAACCACGTTAACCAGCTTCGGTCTGCTTGATCCTGTTGAACGAATTTAACCAGCTTGGGTTCGCTTCAGCACTTAAGCTTCCTTGAGTCTGCTTAAGCAGACTCTGCTTGAGTCTGCTTCAGCACTTAAGCTTCCTTGATCCTGTTTTAGTCTGATTTCAGTCTCTACTGTACTGCTCCAGTCTGCCTGGGGCTGCTTGAATCTCTGCTAGGGTCTGCTAGACTCTCTGCTACCGTCTTCCACCCCACCCGAATAGAACATGTGGCAATTATCGCTGTATCTAGACAGATAGGTTGGCCCAGTTACAGCTATAATGACCGTATGTTCTGCTCCGGGGACGACGACAGATTGTGTGGGAGTTTTTATCAAGTCTGCTTGGAGAGGAAGTTAAGTGTGCTGAAGCATACCACTTTGTTTTTCTTCCTATTCTTCCTTTGTTTTTGTTTTTTTTTTTATCTCAAGTTTTCCAAATCATAACAGGCAATAGATGTGCTGTGAGTCATTCAGAGTACAAGCCAATGACTATTCTTGCTATGAGTACTAAACTTTTCTAGCAGAGAGTATAAGCGAATGACTTTTCTTGCTGTGAGTAGTAAACTCTTCTAAGGGAGAGAATAATAAAAAATGGCTATGACGTACAAAGAATCGAGACTACCTCATGTCATCTGGGACAGAGGTCAATTGCAATTTATTTATTTTTTATTTTTTTTTCCAAATTGCAATTGTTCACATGAAAATGACCCTGACAATGGCCCGGATGCCCCGCAGACACGAGAACCAGGCAAACTGTGCTCTGGAGCACGTTTGGTTCCAATTTTCATTGGGCCCTTTGGGGTTGGCTTGCTTCCATTGGGCGTTGGAACGGCCCGGAATATGTAACGAAACTGTTAAGTATCTGAGACTTCCCCCCCTGCTCCACCATGCACCCTCCCTCTCATTGGAGGAGCGTTTGCCCCTCGTACTGATGAAGTCTGCCGAAAACGACCCTAACCCAGAAGTGGTAAAACACTACTCTCTCTCTCCCCCCCTCCCCCCCTCCTCCTCCTCCCCACCACCACCACCACACACACACACACACACACACACAAATGTGGGCAACCTTCCATCTTCTCATATATGGCCTATCTATACCTTTTTGTTTGATGGATGGTTTGTGATGATTTGTTTTGTCGTTGGAACGAGGAGAGAATTTGGGGATCTTTGAAAACACACACACACACACACACACACACACACACACACACACACACACACACACACACAACACACACACACACACACACACACACACACACACACACANCACACACACACACACACACACACACACACACACACACACACACACAACACACACACACACACACACACACACACACACACACAACACACACACACACACACATCCAGAGATAACGCAAGACATGAAGTGAGCAAATAATAGAACAAGAGCCATTATGCGTACATACACACTGCCATACACATACTGCTCATCAACTTCCACTGAGAAAATCGTGTTCACCCAATCAGATGGGGAGGGTAGGACGATACCTGCATGGTGCCCAGTTCTGCAGCAAATGCACTGCCGACTCGTCCAGCGAGGATGATAGCTGTCACGACCGGCGATAGTTCCCTCCCCAGCGCCAGCGCCAGAACACCACCAACCGATCTCGTCAAACCTAGTCTTGCAAATTCCCGAATAAACTGGAGCGACAACATAATTGCATTTCATATCAGTACCCACCCCAACATGCATCTGTCACTTCCAGACCCGACCCATCTTTTAAGAACGGCTACAACCTTTTTTTTTCCCCTTTTTCGGCTTGGTTGGTTTGTGGCAGGATTCAGGACCTCGGGCCAAATGCCAGAACGAGGCCCTGCCTACCCTAAGTGAAGGTGGGCCTGCCAAAATGAAGCTGGGCCTGAGAACAGGGCAATGTGAGCGAAAAGGGGGCCCCGGGGTAGTTGCAGCACGCGTGCAGAAGCTTCCACTAACCAGTAGGCCCAGCCTACGAGTGCGCTGCAGATGCTGGGCCCGCATGCACATTCTGGAAGGGCCCGAGCCGAGCGCAGGGGCCAACTGGGACATGCCGCAGCCTGGGTGCGGCCTCCTCAGCCTCTCCATCCAGTACAAAAGACTGGAGACCGGGCGCAGCCTCCTCAGCCTCTCCGCCCAGATTCACACATTCAGGCATTGTGCCAATTCGGCAGTGCTGCCCCCGTGGGAAGCTGGTGCGGTGGCAGCGAGGAATAAGAAGGGAGAGCAACAGCCATAGCCAGGCTGAGCGCTCCATAGCCGGGGTTGGTGGTCGAAGTAGCGGAGGTCCTAGGTCAAAAAAGGGATGGAGGATAAGGGAGGGAGAGAAGAGGTGTGAACGAGGCATGTGCCTGGTGTTGATGAAAGCAGGCTTTTCGATCAGAGTCTTCAAGCGGCGTTGGGCTGATGACACGCAGGCTGGTTGTTGGTGTAGATAGGCTAGATTGATAGGAGTGATAGGAAGTAGTTTCGGCGCCCAGGACGCCTATAGGAAGAGCTACATTGTTGTTGGATCGATGATTAGAGGCGTTGGAAGAGCTTTCTTTCTTTATCAAGTTTAGTTCTTTCTGCATGTTTTGCTCTTTCCTATTTGGTGTGCATCCTGCTTTGCTTTCTGCTTTCAATTTCGGCTCAATGATGTCTGATCTTCTGCGAGATGTTGCAATCTGGTTTGTTGCTGTTTGCATTGCTTATGTCCTTGCATTTGTTTGTTTGTTCGTTCGGTGGTTCGTTTGTTCATTCGTTTGTTCGTTTGTTTGTTCATTCGTTTGTTTGTTCATTCGTTTGTTCGTTTGTTCGTTTGTTCGTTTGTTCGTTCGTTTGTTTGTTTGTTTGCTTGTTTGTTTGTTCGTTTGTTTTACAACCGCAATAAAAGAGGTTAAAACTTAAAACTCAAAACACCAAACAACATGCAGAAAGAACTTAACTTGTCAGTGCTGTCGCATCTCCAAGAAGAGTCGGCAAATACAGTACAAAGTACGACAGACCCTTTTTTTTTCTTTTTTTTCTTTTTTTTGTCTGACTACAAAAAGCCTTGATTACAGACTCTTACAGAGCCAGGCACAATCAAGGTTTGTATGTCAAGGATTGGGTCAGCATATGGGTGTGTTCCCTGCCTCTGTAGTGAAGGATAAATTTAGGATAAATTCAGGATAAATTTAGGATAAATTAGGATAAATTCAGGATAAATTCAGGATAAATTCAGGATAAATTTAGGATAACTCCAGGGCAACGCACCCGATTGCAGCATATGGGTGCGCTGCCCTGGAGTTATCCAAATTATATCCTAAATTTATCCAAAATTTATCCTGAATTTATCCAAAATTTATCCTGAACTTATCCTGAATTTATCCTAAATTTATCCATTTTCATTTTCTGACTACAGAGCTTGATTACAGCATACGGGTGGATACATTTTGATCGATAGCCTCCAAATGCTGTGCAGACCTAAAGTGACACTGCAAAACACACCCGTAATGTATTTACTATTTATCCTTATCCTAAATTTATCCTTATCCAAAATTCGTCCTTATCCCCAATTATCGTTATCCCACATTTATCGATATCCCAAATATATCCTTATCCTAAACTTCTCCAAAATTTATCCTTACCCAGAGTTTATCCTTATCCAAAACCTATCCTAAATTTAATAATTTATCCTTATCCACATTGATATTGGAGTAAGGAAGTCATCCTATTGTTTCAACAAACTGGAATCAGTAGAATTCTCAAATTACATTTAAAAAACAACAACAACAGAGACTCTCTGTTCCATGCTGCGAACCTGAAACACCCCCCAGGGGGGTGCAAAAAGCATCACACCACCAGTACCTCCACGTCTTTAGGCCGTTGACACGGTGCCTGAATCGGTGCGCCGTGCGGGTCCATACGCATTTGCGTCAGAGCCTCCCCAGAGGGGGCCTAAGACCCCCTGGCATACTGATGGGTTTAAAGAGGTGCAAAAGGCAATATACTTCGCTTATACTTATCCGAAACACATTGCAAGTTGCAACACCATTGTTGACTGAAATACATATGGGACAGCAACTGGACATTCTGAAAAAAAGGACAGTTTTGGATAAATTCATCCTTATCCAAAACTTTATCCTTACTCCAAAACGTTATCCTTATCCAAAACTTTATCCTTATCCGAAATGCATTGCAACACCACTGTTGGCTGAAAGGCATATGGGACAACAACTGGAAATTCTGGAAGGACTGTTTTGGATAAGATCGAGGGACTGTTTTGGATACGATCATCCGTATCCCAAATTTATCCTTATCCTAAATTTATCCTTATCCGAAACGTATTGCGACACCACTGCTGACTGAAATAGATATGGGGGACAACAACTGGAAATTCTGGAAGGACTGTTCACACAGCCGCTGCAAAAGCTCGTGCATTGACAGCGAATGCTCCAACGATTCAGGCGATTCAGTTAGGTGTGAAACAGCACCTAGCCAGATTCCGGTTAGGTGCGATGCACCAACCTAACCAGGATCAACTGACACTTTGGCTGACTGCTGTGATTACCGTCTTCCCCCGAACACAACGCACCCTGATTATGAATGCACACAAGCTATCTTTCCGGTCCGATACAGTCACAATGAGGGTGCCTTATGTTTGGGGCAAGACGGTACTCTGGCTGGATTCGTGACTGCTCGCTCAAGCTCCATAACATCGGGCCTCCCCACACCGCTCACGAAATGAAAAAAAATGTGAGTGCATCTTCCCAAAGGAAGTGGAAAGATTCGTCAGTTACTAAAAATAGTAACGGATGTATCTTGCCGCCTTCTGCAGGAAGATGCACTCACATTTTTTTCATTTCGTGAGCGGTGTGGCGAGGCCCGTTCCTCAACTTCCCTGGTTTGCCAAATGCTGACAGTTTCTATACAGGGATGCAGGACCCGATTTCCCGATTTCCAGCAGGTGTAGCTCTCCACCAATATAGATGAAGCACCCGAAGGCGTCTACTCGCGGGGGCTGCTCATATCACTCCCTCCAGTACAAGGCCACTGGGTTTTGCTATCACTCCCTCCAGTACAAGGCCACTGTAGAGAAAACAATTCATGCCTATATTATCAGAAGTACCCTTTTTTTTTTTCTTTTTTTTTTTTTTAGAGCCACCAGTACATCCGAAAAAGGAGATTGAGCCTCACCTGAAAAATAGGAGGCCGTGAACAGCCGATTCATTACAGTCCATGGCCTCCAATTTTTTTGGAGAGGCTCAATCTGCTTTTTCGGATGTACTGGTGGTTAAATTAAAAAAAAAAAAAAAAAAAACAGGGTACTTCTGATAATATAGGCATGAATTGTTTTCTCTACAGGTCAGCCAGAGTTAATCGTGGAGACTCTGGCTACTACGGTATTCCCCGGAGAAAAACACATCCCTCGCCGTGGACGAATACAGGCAACCTTTTCAGTCAGTTACAGTCATGATGAGGGGTGCACGGTGTTCGGGGGAAGATGGTAGCTAATCAACACAAGCATACCACAGAAGCACTGATCGTCGGCAATGCATGCGCACTGCACAAGCCGGCCAGCAAAGCAACCAGTGAGAACTGTCACTATTCTGCCCCCACCCATCCTCCAAACACTGACCCTGACCCATGGACGTATACAAGCTATGGTGGCGAGCCGGGACTCCGTGGATGTATGCAAGCTACCTTTTCGGTCACATACAGAATCCAACACGTCTTCCCCCAAATACAACACACCCTAATGATAAATGCATGCAACCTATGTGTAGGTCACCTGAGACTACGTAGACATATACAAGCTACCTTTTCGGTCAGATACAGACTCCGACCCCTCTTCCCCCGAATACAACGCACCCTAATGATAAATATATGCAACCTATGTGTAGGCCACCTGAGACTCCGTAGACGTATACAAGCTACCTTTTCGGTCAGATACAGACTCTGACCCGTCTTCCCCCGAATACAACGCACCCTAATGATAAATGTATACAACCTATCTGGCTGGTCTGATACAGAGATGATGAGGGTGTGTTGTGTTCGGAGGAAGACAGCAGTTGATCAATACAAGTTTTTGGCATATGTAGCCATCTTACCTCACCTGAATGGTGAACACCATGCCGACAAACGAAGCCGTCAGCAAACTGACACCAACCGACTTCGGCCCGACTTCTTCCAGCTGCTGAAGGGTGTTTCTTACATGCACGCGCCCACGCAAAATTCGGATTAATACCTGCAGAGGAACAAATGAAACAGGATGAGCATTTAAAAAAAAAAAAAAAACAGGCTGAGCATCAAGGGGGAAATCAGTATCGCACACTGCATTAGAGCAAAAACACACGAACCGAGGACAGAGCTTGAAGTTTGAACCATGGTGATTGCAGTTCGAATATAGACAAAAAAAAAAAAAAAAAAACCATTTTTATCCCGGTCCCAACAGCGACCTGATGCAGCTCCCCCAGTTAAACCACCAGAACCTTTCTCAGCTATCAATGCCGAGCCTAAAATCGCCCTGCGAGCCAAAATAAAAACGAACCGGCGCCGTGTTGGAGGGCGCGGTGTCCCGACCCTCCACGGTGTATCAGGCACCTGCTCATGACCCTCCACGGTGTACCAAGTGCGCCTTGCACGCGGACAATTTTTATTCCGCAGTGCGCCGGAAACACCCAGACTGTGCTCTGCTACTGGACAGGTCCGGTCGGCGCTCCCACAGCAAAAGGGCACGGGTGCACCACTGGACTTTCCATTGGTCCACGCAGGCTCGGCGCCCTGCTGTACAACAGAGCACAACCGCCCTGTGCTCGTGGTGGCCGTCGAGCTCGCCCAGGGACGTGAAGGTAGTAGCCTCTGAGCAATCTTTTCGACTGCGCGCCGAATCCCTAAAATCAGAGTTATGGGTTTTGTGCACAGAGTTGCAGTCACAATCAAGTAAGAAGCTAAGGAAAGTAAAAGAAAAGAGAAATAGAAGACGAGAAAAAGTTCCGCATCAACCTTGTGCCCTGATCTCAGGTTGTAGCGGCGTTACGATTTTGGTGAGGATTCTAACTTTTTCTATAATTCAATTTCGTATTTTCAAACTTAGTTCCCCCTCTGTCGCTTCACGGGGGAGAACGAACGGTTCGTTTTTTAACCTTGATTACAAACGGGCGACCTAGACTGGCCCATCCCTTCGCGTTTCATTTACCGTAGGTGTGATCTGCTAAGCGCCAAGTAGTAAAGCCTCAAAATAGGGGTACCGGCAGCCGCTTTGGTAGGAAGCTCATCACCTCCCCGCGGAAGGTCATGAACCCCCTCCTTGCCATCGGACACGAGTATCCATTAGTGGAAGTCCAATGACCCGCTTTAAGGGAGAGAGACCACCTGTTAATATCCCATTATGAGACCATACTGCGCGCTGAGCCTGCAGTCCTTTCGAGTTAATTTGAGAGGACTGCAGGAGGTGATCATGGGTGGGCGCGCTTGTTCAGTGATCCTTGACCTTCAGTCCTAACCGATCCTTTTTATTGAGGAAAACTATTATCATAATATATTATTAATATTTATTTTATTGATACGTATTTTTAAAAGCGCTTTTTGAGTTTTCTGATTAGTAAATGGGAACCGCAACTCTCTCGAGTCTTATAAAAAGGTGCAGCCGCAGAGCTTTTTGGCTATTGGTCAGAAGGTGTACATACGGTCATGTGTTGCCAGTGCCTGTTGAGTAAGTTGGGATAGTCGTGTGGAGAAACGAGGCAGTCGGGCTGTGGCTATCTGAGTTTAGCTGTCTTGTGCCTTGCACGTGCTGTGTGAGCGAGTGTGTAGATAGTTGCTGGTGGCCTTAGGCATGGACTATTCTGACGACGAGCTATGTGGCTATGGCTTACCGTAAGCGCCTCCACGGCTACCAACTCAGGCATCTAAAGTACTTCTGGAGCTGGGAGCCTAAGCGGGAGGAGGGTATTATCGTTAACGCCAGTTTTACCTACAGTAAGTATGATAGGCTGGCAAAGTTAAAAATTAACGTCTCCGGAGGAAAGGAGCAAGAAATGAGGGAAGACGAAGGCGTGTAGGGAGTTGTCACCGAGGCTCGAAATCGAGCCAAACGGAGGTGCAAAAGGGATAGGGTGACTGCAGCATTGCAAGTCACCGTTACTTACCACGAGGAGGAGACATCAACGGGGACCACTGAAAGAAAGTAGCAACTGCTAGATCGGAACTCTGAGGCCGAGTCTGAAGCCAATGATGCAGAAACCCAATCCTGGCACGGATGGGCCCAGTGGCAGCGGGACCACCCGCCTGCCGAGTCGGTGGAAGATGGCCCAGAGGCCAGCTCGTGAGGACAGAGAGATTGAGGCCATGAGGCAGTTACGAGCAGTGGCCCTGGGGGACGCGGTCAGCGAGAGCAAAGACAAACGCATGGAGGGACTTAGAGAGACACACGCAAGAAGTATGCATGCGCTCTATAGTTGGCATCGCCCACTTCTTGGTGAAGTCAGCTTGTGATGATAGAAGGCCTGAAGTCGTGAGGTGGACACGAGTACCACGCGAGAGTCCTGCGGGAGGTCCGGAAAACGAACGATCAGCAACGGAAAACCCGAGAAAGGGAGATAAGAGAGAGAAGTCAGACCTGAGAGAGGAAAAGACGCGTACTTGTCCATCTGATGTCGTCATCAACCATCACGTGTTGTATGCATGATTTCCTCATTAGTCTGTAATGCTGATGAATGTGCGGTGCAGCGATTGAATCCCACTACTACCGGTAGTCTGAGAGGGTGAACTTAGAATGAAGGGTTTCACTCTCACTGTGATGAGGAGATGTGCGAAGCAGCGTTATAGAGAACACGCAACTGCATCAGATATCAGTTTTACTTGCATGCATCTATGAGTCGAACGGTTCTCCGAGTTGTGCCTGTGTGATTCTTAAGAGAGACACGGGAACAACTCACGGTTTGACGTCATCATAATATGCACAAATCTCAGGTCAGGATAGAACTTAAAGGTGTCTGTCAAGTAATTACAAACTGCGACGAGTTGAGAAGGGAGGCATGCATAAGCGTTAACATCTCGCGCGTGCTACAGAAGATACTCCCTTTCTAAGGTGACTAATGTGCGGCCTCTGCAAGGAACGTGCACACCTCGTGTGGCTGACACCACACTGCTACGCGTAAGCCACAGAAACACAGCCAAACCGTACTTGAGAGTGTTTACGAGAAGGGTGTGAGCGAAATTGCGGATGAAGATAGGCGCATGAAGCAACTATGGTTGTAGAGAGCGGAGAGGAGACGAGGAGAGCGGGGTACTAATGACACAGACGAGAGAAAGAAGTCATATCAGACCACTGCGTATCGTTCTAGGGAGAGATGTGCGAAGACACGCGTGTTCTCTGTTCGTTGACGTCAATTTCTTTCTTGCTGAGCCTTGCATGGCCATCGTCAGCCGCTAATGAACCTTTCTACGGAAACCGAAGCACTCTGCTGTCGTCAATGCTCTGGCATGATTAGCGCGGTCGGTTTGTTAATTACTCCTTGCCATCGTGGAGGTACTAGAACCCTTGAGATTACTAGAAAATAGCAAGACAATTACGCAAGGCCAGATTATGAGTGGGCATGTGACATTCACTACGGGTAAAGCGCGCAAGAGAGGCGGATTAGTGTCCTATGGATGACGTCATCTGCACGTCTGTTACTTTGAAATGTGAATTATAGATAGTGTGTGACATCATCTCAATCAGTGAGAATGAGAATTGACACAGGACGCATGGGGCTTTTGCAGCACCTGTACATGCCTGGTGACGGATTTTTGTCAGCCTTTTTCAAGATAAGACTTGACTTTCCACGGGCAGCGCGTCTGAATGCCATGGCAGAGTTTGCTGTCAACTGGGCATTTTTGCCTCCTTGCTCGATTTGCGCAGCAGCCCTGTCAGACTAATAATCTTTGTTCTTTGTCCTCCCTATCTTACACTTGTCCAAATTTCCCTTCTTGATGGAGAGAATGTCCAAATTTCCCTTCTTTATGGGGTTTAGGGGGTCTTTCTCTCTCAATTGGCTATTTTCACCACCGATGTTAAACTGATGAACGAGCGGGGGGACATTGTCGAGAAAAGGTTGACCTTCTTGATGGGTAATGATGAGAAAGTACGAGTAAGCATGAACCTTTGATGCCCTTGACGAACACCAGATAGGCCTAACCTTGCACAACAGGGCTAACTTTGGTGGAGGTACCTGTCACAACCAGTAAAATCCACAACATACAGAGTTGGGGGGCGGCCTTGTGGTGATAAAATCCACAACATACAGAGTTGGGGGGGACTGGGTACCATTGGAAGTCTCCCGTGTCGGAATGGCCCGGTCTGCCCGGGGTGTGTCGTGGGAGTGTGATTATAGAACTGGCCATCAGGGTAGGGAGGGCCTGCCTATACCTCAGCCTGCACAAACTTTTTATTAAAAAAATAAAAAAGGATTAATTTCATCGGTGGCCTTTGTCGCATTTCCGGCCTCCAAAACGGCCCCGCAGCCCCAGAAAGGGGGCCCCGCGGCCAATGCATGGCATGTACTGGTGGTTTAAAACTTGCCCCACTGCTGTGTGCATCTTTTTTTTTTGCTGTGGATAAAAAACTCCTGTTCGGGGCGTGTTTGCCACGTGACAACTGCGTGGAACTGATCTATTTATATATCCAGATACAGTGCAATGTATCTGTTCTGATCAGTTGGCCTTTTGGTTAAGTAAGATCAAGTGCATTGTATCTGGTCTAATCAGTCAACATATCTGGAAACTGATAGTAGGTTAGAACAGCGGAATTAAAAAAAAAAAAAAAAAAAAAAAAAAAAGAACAGCGGAATCATAATCCGCATGTCGGGGGTTCGAATCCCTCTTCCGCCAGTCGTCTATACTCTTTATTATATATCCAGATACAGTGCACTGTATCTGTACTGATCAGTTCGCCTTTTGGTCAAGTAAGATCAAGTGCATTGTATCTGCTCTAATCAGTCTACATATATCTGATCCGTGGTCCATCGGATCACACATAAGAGAGGACTTCAAAAAAAAAAAAAAAAAAAAAAAAAAAAAAAACAGTACCCCTCTGGTGTGCTCCTGTGGGTACGAACTGCTGGTTCCCACGTGTTCGTCACGTGGCAACTATACGTGGGACTGAGCATTTATGCACAAACATAAATGATTTTAAAAAAAACTCTTTCTTTTCAGTTGGTACACCCATGAAAACTGTTGAAATGGAGACCTACGTTCGAATCTCAAAGGATTCAGATGACGGATATAACTCTACCTGGGATCGGTCAGTTTAAAGATAATATATCTCGACGAGGCCGTTGCCCTTTTTTCTGTGTGTTGGGGGGGGGGGCAAGAACAAAACAAAAACACTTTCCTGCTCTACAGCTGTGCGCCTTTTCTTCTGTGGATAAAAACTCCTGTTCTGAGCGTGTTTGCCACGTGGCAACTACCGTCTTCACCCGAATAGAACACCCCCCATTCATCATATGCATTTGCCACAGCTTTCAGTCTAGATACAGCGATAACGACCAGGCGTTCTATTCGGGTGAAGACGGTTGGCAACCACAGCGATAACGAACAGGCGTTCACCATCCATTCCATATATACAGATGACTTTAATACCCCCCCTCCTCCCCCCCCTCCCCTCCCCCCCCCTCCCCCCTCTTCTTGTCACTCTGTTGGGTAAAAACTCCCCTTTCGCGGGTGTTTGCCACGTGGCAACTAC